CGTGCAAAATTTGAGGTCAATTGGACTGGATTTGATAGGTTCCGGTATTGTTTGTAGAAATTAAAATTTCAAAATTCATAGATTTTGATTTGAGGTGCGATTAATGGTTTTGATATTGTTTGATGTGGTTTGAAGCCTCGGCTAAGTTCGTATTGTATTTTGAGACATGTTGGAATAATTGGTTAAGGTCCCGAAGGTCTCGGGTGGAATTCGGAAGGTAAACAGAATGGATTGCGGACAAAGAAGGTTGCTGGAAATTTGCAGAAATTTCGCCAGAAATTTCTGGTATGTGGAGCCAACTTTGGAAGCTTATATCTCGTAATTCATAAGGAATCGGAAAATTTTCAAAACATGAAAGTTGTATTCATTTGTTTCTAGTTTCCAGAAAGTTAAACCATTTATTATTTGGACATTTGTACAGAAAGTTATGATTGATTGAATAAAGGCTGGCAAAGCAGTTTCGCCAGAAATTCTGATACATGGAGCCAACTTTGGAAGCTTATATCTCGCAATTCATAAGGAATCAGAAATGTTGCAAAACATTAAAGTTGTAGTCGGTTGATTCTAGTTTCCATAAAGTTAAACCATTTATCATTTGGACATTTGTACATAAAGTTATGATCAATTGAAGGAAGGCTGGTAGAGCAGTTTCTGGTGGACTTTTAGTGACGAAAAATGGACTTTTAGTGACGGATTGACATAAATTTAAGGACCAAAAATGGTCATTTCATTTATTTCGTTTTGGATTTTTGGAGCACGGTTCTTGGGTGATTTTTGGGCGATTTTCACGGGAAAACATTAGGGTAAGTGTTCCTTATCCTATATTGATTATATTTCATGATTCCATACTCATTTACATCATGAATCCATGAATTTATGGAGGAAAAATTAAGATTTTTGCAAAATCTTCCAAAAATGAAATTTTAAGATTTTGGAGGTCGAGTTGTTATCGGATTTTGATAAAATTGGTATGGGTGGACTCGTAATTGAATGAGTTGTCGGATTTTGTAAGTTTCGCCGGATTCCGAGATGTGGGCCCCACGGATAAATTTTGAGCTAATTTCGAATTTTAATGAAAATGTAATATTTTCTTATGAAATTGATTACTATAATTTTTGTTGACTGTATCGAATTAATTATGACTAGATATGAGTCGATCGGAGTCGAAAAATCGAGGAAAAAACATAATACTTGGTTAAATTGGAGCAAGTCGAGGTAAGTGACTTGTCTAACTTTGTGTTGGAGAAATTTTCCCTAGAATTGATATTAATGTGATTACTGAAATGTGTTAAAAGTCGTGTACACGAGGTGACGAGTGTGTACACGGGCTAAATGTGAAATATTATATTTTTAAATTGTGTAGATCATTGTCGCGCATTTATTAAATTATTTTATCTTGTTATATTCTTCATCATTGATCTGTGATATATATTTAAAATTTGTTTGCCTTTTTCCTGCTAATTATTTTACCTATTTAATTGAAACTTGATTTCTTTCATACTGTGCATTATTTGAAGGTTGATTTTCTTTAAATTAAATATTATTAATATAAAGTATCTGACATTTTTAAATTTTGATATTGAAGCAACGTATTAAAAATTTGGAATATTATTTTCCTGAATTATTTATTCTTGAATATTTTCGTGAGATTCTTTTTCGTGAAAAATTAAAATATTGGGCACTTGAGGTGCAAATCGTGACATATTGTGATATTGATACGCATGCGGTGGTATAAGGTCTGGGTGTTGAAACGCATGCGGTGAGACACCTCTTTTTTCCCGCGAGGGATATAGGATAGGGGAGTTTTTCCAAATTAAGTGACATTAATCGAAATGAGATTATTTATTTATCCAGAGTCTCCACTTGGAATAATTTATAGTGTCCCAAGTCACCGGTTTGTTTTAAATCCCAAATCGAGGAAATTTGACTCTATTTATGGTCTGCGAATATAGAAGACCGGGTAAAGAATTCTGTTAACCCAGGAGAAGGTGTGAGGCACTCCCGAATTCCGTGGTTTTAGCACGGTCGCTCAATTATTAATAATTGCCCTAATTATCTCATTCATTACATGCTTAAAACCTTTTATGCATCATTTTACCTTTTACCTCTTTTAATTATTTATGGAATTATTTTGAACAAGTCGCGATGTCGTGCATTCGTTGATTTTGTACATATTGTAAATCGCACCACGTGAAACGCACCCGCGATATACAACATGTTTATTATTATTATTTGAAGTTATGATCGGGTCACATGAAATGCACACCCGAATTGGGGGTTATGTATCGTGACTATGCCATGGGAACTGTACCCATAGTCACGATGATTTATTTACGTGCCTAAAGTAAACTGCGATATTCATCATTCTTCCTAAACTTTGAGATTATTGTAAAGCCAAGAATTATGAAAATTATTGTGGATAAGATGTGTGTGGCTTAGTTGTTGAAATTATAAGAATCATTTACACTATGTAGTTTCCATTTGCATCTTAATAGTTTAACGGTTAATGTAACAAATGAATACACTAATTTTGATAACTATGTAAACTCAAAGGAAAACAATGCACTTATTCAATAATCTTTTATATAAAAAAAAAGTAAAGCAAAAGCATTTGTCATTGGGCAACTACAACACATGTAGAACCATATCGTGTGACGTTTCCACTTTTGACAATAATTGCTTAATGAATGCAGAAATTCTTTACTAGCATTTTCAGTATTCAACTTGGACATTGCATCTGGATTTGGATTAAGAATCTGCAGTATGCATCAAACAATTCTTTCAAGTTCTATGTGATTATCTTTGCAGTAAGCTAGCAAATCAGACTCGTGAAACTCTACTCTATCATCATATATTGGTTCCATTGTCATTGTCAACAGTACCCTTATTTCTTGTCAAATAATAGAAGGTTCTCAACTTAGACACAGGTACCAACTAATCAAAGATAGAAAATACTTTATGGGAACTAAACGCAGTGGTGCAAAATCCATAACAACGAAGAAAGACAATATCAAAATGCTAGCAAACAGAAAGCTGACCTTTAAATGAACAGAAGCTTTGAAATTTGTTTAAATATTGAATTTCTCTGAATACATCGAGGAAGAGAGTACCGATATAACTCAAACACTACCCGAATCACCAACTAAACGGAAAGATCGAACCGGGGACCTCGACGATAACCTCAATTCAACGGCGCAAAAAACCTCCATTGAAACTCCATAGCTTTTAAAACCGGATTTCCAGCCAGATTCGTCACCTTCCGTCGCAGCAGTAACAAATAATTGGGAAGAAGACGGAGGAGGAGGAGGAGGAGCAGTAGCCGTCGCCGGTTTTTGGCTGAGCTCGTCGGCGATGAGGCGAGACAGAAAATAAGAGGGGGCTTTTTGAGGGGAGGCGACTGCCTCTTTTCTATGTTTATGTGTGTGTGTATCTTTAATTTTGAGGGAAAGAATGATGAAGTTCTAAAGGGGAGGTGAAGCGCTGATGATGTCTCAAAACAGAAGGAGCAAGCAACAACTAGGTTAGGAGTTTTCCTCTCTATGATCTGTGTACAGTGAGTGTCATTTTTGTAAAAAAATCAATTATGCGGTAAAGATGAGGTGTGGGCGCATCGGCTAGGTTCATGTGAATTAGCTTAGGGTTTTTGGATGTTAATTTGGTTTTTATATGATAGTGGGGAGTGAGTATTGGCCTTTGGATGAAAGTAGATCAATGGCTATGATTAAGGGAGGGGTTTGATGGGTGAGAAAAGGATTTGGGCTAAAAGGGATTGGGAAGGATAGGCCTTTGTCTTGCTGGGCCACCAAAATACGAAAATAAGCTCCCAATTGGCCCAAATTCAATTCTTACTCATTGAACAAAAAATAAAAATAAAAATACTAATACTATCAAAATATACTAATTAATACAAAACATATTTTTTTGGTATTTTCAAATAATAATAATAATAATAATATCTTTCTAAAAATACCTAATACCTAAATTAAATAGAGAAAATAAAACTATTTTTGTATTTTTCAATTTTTGTGCTTTAAAAAAATAGAATTAAAATTAATAATAAAATAAAATCCTAATGAAATAAAATCAAATAAATATTCTAAAAAATACTAGGACTATTAAAGGTAATTCTAATGTGTGGGTCAAAAATTACGTGCTTACAGGTGGCTTGATACGCGTGGCTAGTAGGGGTGACTATTAGAAGTCATGCAGTGTGATAAGGGTGGCTAAAACGCGAGATGTTATTTCGGGAAAAAAAAATATTTTCTTTAAATAAATTGTGAAGGCTCCCGCGGTGAGATAAGGAAATGAGATATTGTGAATTTGTTTATGATTTGGGACTACGAGGCGGTACCTCGGGAGTGCCCTTATTGATATTGATTTATGGCCGCAGTTGCCTTTGATTATTGTTGTGATTTTCTTAAAGTCTAAAAGAATTCTGTTTTGTTTCCACGAGGTAATTATTTGCCATTATTTGATGTAATTAAATGTGACATACTACTTGATTAATTTCTATTGTCATTTTATCTTATAATATTGTTTAAATATTTTACCATGCCATTATTTATTCTCCAGTAGGGCCTGACCTGACCTCGTCACTACTTTACCGAGGTTAGGCTTGGCACTTACTGGGTACCGCTGTGGTGTACTCATACTATGCTTCTGCACATCCTTTTGTGCAGATCCAGGTACATCTTATCAGACCACGTATCAGTACACTAGCTGTACGAGGAGACTTCGAGGTATATCTGCCAGCATCCGCAGACTCCGGAGTCCCCTTCTATCTTACTATGTTATCTTCCTTATTTGCTTTAGACTCTGATATATAGAGACATAGAGAATAAATTCTTAGAAGCTTGTGACTTATTTCTACCGGGTTTTGGGAGTTGAAATTGTTTGAATTGTAGTTTATTTATTTTAGATATTTATTATTATTATTCTGCATTGATAGGCTTACCTAGTCTTAGAGACTAGGTGCCATCACGACATCCTACGGAGGGAATTTGGGGTCGTGACAGTTTTGCCCGAGCCTTGACACGAGAGGCTCCTGGCCTCGATTCCGACACCTTGCAGCCATGTCCTTGCCTCGTTTGCTTCACCGGAAAATCGGGATACTCATTAGCCTCGGTTTTACCCGTACACAGATAGTCCCCTCGTTTCTCAGAGAGTAGGTTTGCCGAAACGATAGATGCTCTCCAGTTCCTTCCTTCGTACGTTACGACGAAGGAGCCAAAACGTCCCATCAGTCATGTCGTTATGACTTCGGACATGTGTCAACCATTGGCTGGTTGCCTCCGAATGCGAAGCATCGCCTACTTCCTTATAAAAGCCTTTATCCCTTATTGTTTTTCCACTTTTTAGACAAGCTTTTACCTTCGAACTTTCCGACTATCATCAACTTCTTTCACATCTTCATACCTTCATCCTTTGATCTTCAAATCTTCATAATTATTCTTAGATTTTTGCCCGAATCTTCTTAAATTCTTCATATTCTGATGTTCAGTGTTTAAGCTTGTTCTTCCAAACCTCCATACTTCTTTTTCAAATCTTCAAATATTACGAGCCAACAATGGATAAAACTTCCAAATCAGTTCCCCAAAAGGTTGCCTCTTCGTCTTCCCAACCGGCCGTTGGTACTGAGGCGGTCGATCCCGAAATAGTTATCCTCGAGACGGTTGCTCTCGATGTGGCTGCCACCGAGTCCGCAGCCGCCGAACCGGCTCCCGAGCCCCCTTTGAAAGCATTTATTCCCGAGGGTTGTTCTATTGCAGATGACTTCAAGGTTGAAAACCCCTTGTCCAAGCAGGACCAGGGTGAGGGAGCACCAAGGTACATATGCTTCGTGACCGAAGACGTCCTTCCCGTGGTCCGTGAGGACTGTAACTGGGAAGGTAAGAACGTGGTAGTCCCCGGGCCTAAGGATTCCATTACTATACACGTGGAGGGTTAATTAAGTGTTTGCACTTATCCCTTCACATTGGGCCTGGTGGACCCGATTATTTTGGATTTTTGCAAAAGGTACGAAGTGTGCCTCGGGAAAATCCGCGCGTCCATATGGAGGTCTCCGAGCTATTTTTTAGGGCGGCCGTAGCCTTTTAAGTTTAGGCACTACCTAATAGGTTTTGTGCCTCTGGGTTTTGATAACCCGAGTTGACCGAATGTATTTCAGACGACATTCCCCGAGTGGGGGTAGCCCTTGGGCTCGGATAGGGGTAGCCCTTAGGCTTGATAGTCCCCGAGTAGGGATAGCCCTTAGGCTCGATGCTTTAAGAAGCAAAAATATGTAATAGCAAGGTACAAACTTTCTTTCATTTTTGTGTGTAAAGTACAAGATTGAAAGCGTGTAAAAGCTTGTATTATGGCTAAGGTGGCCTACTGATCTCGTCCAATTTCACACCTCAATTCAAGGTTATGAAACAGTCGAATGCAATGATAGTGCCCAACAAGAGTCGGGGTCGATTTTCACAGGGAGCTATATATGGGAGTTAGGAGTATATATTGTAGTATGTGAATTTGATTATCTCAATTTACACTTCCACAAATTTGAGTTGTTTTTAAGTCTAGTTTAAAACTAAGAGTGCAAGGTGAGAAATAAAACTAAGAAATTATTTTTGTTGTTTTTGAAGTTTTGTAAAAAGCCTAGGGTTATGACCATCGCCTAGGTGTTTGCCTAATGGGATATAAACCTTAATGCATGTTTTATTGATCGGGGTGTATTATAGTTCTTAACACTCAATTATCCACTCAATACCTCTTGGTCAGAGAGTGGTTTTTCCCAATTTGGCTTTCTCAAGTCCAAATGGGTATTGCATAAAACGGTTGATAAAAGCTCAAGTCGGGTTATTTCTATCTCTAGGTTGAACCCTTTAATTGGAATTATCAATCTCTCGATTGACCTAATTTCTTGTTAGCCAAGTTTTTCTAGACTAAGTCTCTCTTTTTCAAGTAGAGACCAAGTCAAATAGGCATAAACTAATATTTGCAACCATTAATTCCACAAATTAAAGCATGAACAAGGCTAAATAATAAATACCTAACTATAAAGAAGCAATAAATTAAACACCCATAAGGTTTACACACTAGGGTTGGGTCACAACCTTAGTAAAAATCTAGCTACTCATGCTTTAAATTAAAGAAAAAGAAGAAAAAATGATAATTAAACTCATATTTCAAGATTAAAATGATAGAGTCTGTGTTAAAATAGCTCAAAATATGAAAAACTACTAAAAGAAGTAAAAAAAAAATGGCTACTGTAGCTGCTGATGTCAAACGTTGACCTAAAATTGTGAAACTCGTCTATTTATACAAGGCTAGAAATTTAGGACAAAAATGCCCTTCGGGAAGTTCTGCGGCCGTACAATTTTATGTGCGGTCCGTACTTTTCTTCAACTTATCAGGACTGGAAGTCTGCGGTAGCATAATTCTGATCTGCGGCCGCAAAGCACTCTTTCTGCGATCCGCACTTTTACCTGTACGGCTGCACTTGATCTTCTGCGATCCGCGCTTTTACTCCTGCGGCCGCACTTTTGATGGACTTGGAATGCATATGCATACTCTCTGAACTTTGCTCCTGGACCAACTTTTGTGGTCGCACAATTCATGTGAGGACCGCACTTTGCACCAAACTATGCTGGCTTTTCCTTCATCATCTACGGTCGCAGATGACATTCTGTGGTCCACACTTTTGAGCTTCTGTGCCTTTTATGTCCTTGAGTTTAGATTGCTCCTTTTTGAGTTGGATTGCATCTCGAGAGTTCATCTTTCAATATTCCTGCAATTAAGCATATTTTATTAGTTTTCGGGAATACAATTAAACGCTTTTGTACTAAAACAAAAGCTAAAAAGCGCTAATAAGTAGTCAAAATCCTCACTTATCACCTACGTTGGCATGGTTCACTTGACCGTTTGGCCCTTACAATAAATCCTAACCACCGAGCCTAGGCTATTCAAGCACAAAGTTTCTTTATTTCCTTGATAAGAAGCTTGACCCGAGGGTGATGGCCCCCAGTATTTGAGATCGATCTTGAGAGTGATCGGATATTGTCGATGAGACCACTGACTCCGATTTAAAATAGGTCTTCGATTCTAAGTTAGCACGATTTACTGTTGCCTCATGAAAACCTTGTCGGAAAGCCCATTTGGGACAAACCGGTTCAAGGGAAAAGGAGTGCAACGCTTGCTTTCATACCTAATAGTCACATTCTCCTTTGGTTGTTGCCTACAAGTGTTAGTCCAATTCAAAATATTATAAAAAGGTGAATGAGATCGTATCTTAACAGTAGTACCGCTTCAAGTGTGTAATGTTTCAGTTGTTCAGTAGTTGTGCGTCGTTTCCTGCTTCGAGTTTGTACGAGCCTTTATCGGTAATCCCAATGACTCCATATGGTCCTTCCCAATTCGGCCCCAGCTTCCCCTCATTCGAGTTTCGTGTGTGCAGTATTACTTTTCTTAACACCAAGTAAGTGTCGTAGGTTGGCTCTTCGGTTGTAATACCTTTCTATCCGCTATTTCTGGGCGGCCAATCGGACTAGGGCTGCCTCGCGCCTTTCATCCAACAATTCCAGGCTCGTGCTCATGGCCTCACCGTTTGATTCTTCGATCGCATATCAAAACTTGAAGCTTGGTTCTCCCACTTCGACCAGTATTAGTGCTTCGTCACCGTAGACCAATGAAAATGGAGTGGCCCCAGTACTAGATTTTGAGGTTGTACGGTATGCCCACAAGATTTCGGGCAGAATTTCCTT